GCCTATTGGTAGGTACCCAGGGCTTTCTGGTACCCTAGTGACCTTCTGTATCTGATTATAAATTGCTCACCAGCTTGTTCAGCTATCTGTCTCAGTTTTCCCATTCCCCTTGTCAAGGAATTTTCTGAGCTTCTTACTAGCCCACCTCACTTTAAGACCACTCTGGTCAAGTTCCTCATGAATTTCTAAACAGAAGATTAGAAGTTTTAAGCAAAGGATGGCATTCATTCATTCAGTAATTTTTTTTAAATCCTCATCTGAGAATGTGTTTTTATTGGTTTTAGAGAGAAAGGAAGGGGGAAGAGAGGGAGAGAAACATTGATTGATGTTGGAGAGGAACTTTAATTGTCTGCCTCCCACATTTGCCCAATTTGTCACCCAAGCCACAGTCTTTTTGGTGTGTGGGATGACACTCTGACCAACTGAGTCACTCAACCAGGGCTCATTCAGTAAATTTTTGTTGACTTTTCATGGGACAACACATAGTTCTAAACCCCATAAAGGACATAAAGATAAAAAAAAATTGGCATCCTGCCCTCAAGGACTGTAAGAAACTTACAGTTAGTGCAGGACATAAGCCATATGTAAAAATAATACTATAATTGTTTTATGTCATTAGAAAAATAAAAGAATGTGTACTGATGATTTACGATGTGTCAGGCAACATGCTCAGTCATCATGCATATGACATCTCATCAGATCCTTGCAACAATCCTCTGAGATGGATTTTAGAAGAAATGGGTAAAAATGGGGATGTGGGTGCAGAGTGACTCAGTTTGCACAGTCCAAATGTATGAAGCACAGTGATAAGTTCAGAGAGGTAGAGGGGAGACATTCAAGCGCTTTGATAGGCATCTAGAGTAATCAGGACTATGCTATAGAGACCTGCAGCTGGAAGCCTGTAAAGACCAGACAGGCAGATTACATGACCCTGATGAGTTGGGTGAGCTTTTCCTGTATCTGCATCTAAACAAACTAATTAAGGAAAGCATCCTATGCATGCACAGGCTTGGGGCTGGAGGTAATAAAAAGAGTCAATCTTCAATCTGTGACTCTAGTGGGCAGCACTGAAAGTGAGTAGATTGTGGGCAATCAATGGTTTAGATGCATATAAAGAAAAATGGCTTGCAGTCAGAGATCGTGGTTTCAATCCCAGTTCTGGGTGTTCCAGAGCAAGTTACTTATGTAACACTAGACTAGAGGCCCGATGCATGAAATTCGTGCAAGAGTAGGCCTTCTTTCCCCCGGCTGTCGGCACCAGCTTCCCTCTGGCACCCAGGACCTGGGCTTCCCTCTCAGCCCAGCTTCATCCAGAAGGTCGTCCTGAAGGATGTCCGGTCTAATTAGCATATTACACTTTTATTATTATAGATTGCTGAGCCTTTGATTCTTATGTCATAATAGGGCTAATAACACTCACCTTATAGGATGGTTGTGAGGATTAAACGAGACACAAGACAGAGATCTTTGGGGGAATAGTCAGAAAAGCAGGACCTGGCCCCCTAGGAGAAAGATCTTTAGTGGTGGGCTGCTCTTCTAGCTCAAGTGCTCATTGTTGCCAGATAAATTCAAGTGGGTGCTAGAGGGCTACTTGTCAGGAATGCTATGGAAAGGATTCTTGCCTCCAATAGGTAGTTGCATCAGATGACCTACAGGATCCATTCTACGTTCTACTTTTGTTATTTTCTGTATGTTTTCTCTTGCTTTCAGAGTGTCCTCCTCCACACTTCACCCCGTAGTGACAGTATCTGGCAAAATTCATAGGTACTAAAGGTAAGGCTGATCATCGGAATAATTAGGCAGATAGTAGATATCTGATCTTCAGAGCTGATTCGTGTTGAAACCACAGAAGTCATAAACAGACTTTTCTATTAAGTCAGCTAAGATTCAGAGGAGTGGGTAAACTCGGGGTCGCTGCTCCCTGGACACCCTAGTTCACTTCTGCTGAGATGTCTTTATTCTTTGGGGCTTCCCTAAGATACACAGAGGCCAGTGGTTTCAGTATATCTCTTTAAGTGTTAGAGTCTCTTTTAAAAATGAAGCATTATGGTGAAGCCTAAATGTAGAACAGAGAACAGCTGTAACTCTGATTAAGGGGGAGGGGAGAGGCTGGGGAGAAGGAGCCTGAAATCTGGCCCATCGATTCCTTTCTCACCCACTCTGGAACCCCGGGCTTGAACACTACTGCTTCAGCCGGGGCCAGTTTTCAGCTTTCCTCTTGAGTCTTTTGTTTTCCGGACTCTGATGGCAGCTGTTATCACTCCAGCTGTGGAGGGGATGGGAGGCAACTTCCTGTTATTCTATCCTGCCATCCCTATGGGGGTGGGACATTCCCTCCCTCATCTCCTGCTGCTGGTTGTAGAATGTGAGCCTGAGTGTAGCCATCCTATGACTGGGGCTGGAAGAATGACTGGTAGCCACTCAGCCACTGTTAGAAGGCATTTGGGAGGGCAAGGCAGGCAACAGGCACGACAGACAAGTGTGTCCCTGACTGTGGGAGCGAAGGATGAGTGGCTAAGAGGCAGGTTAAGTGTTTGGTGCATAAAATATCTGACAGGGTGAAGGACTGCTGCATGAATGGTGGCAGAGTGGGAAAAGGGAAGGACTCTGGCCAAAGGGGTAGGGGAGGGGGAGAGAGATGGGTTTTTGGCTTCAAGATTATTTGGGGGTATTTCGGGGTATGGTTTATTTAAGGAATGGAGGGGGGGTTGGGAAGATAGAAAATGTATATAGGTAGACATATATTACCATATGTTTACACATCTGTACAATCGCAATAAAGCTTACAATAACCTTGGATGCATCATCAGCCCCATTTCATAGAAGAGGGAGCTGATGGATGTTTTAGTGACTTTGCCAAGTTACACAGCAAGTAAGTAGCAGAACTGGGCAATGGACTCCAAGCCCTTTTTCTGTCCACATAGTGCACAGCAAGGACAGGACCTTGATTAATTAAGCTTTGAGAGAAGGGTAGGACTTAAAATGCAGAAGAGGGTCAGAAGGTACCAACTTCCGATTATAAAATAGTCTTGGGGATGTAATGTGTAGCATGGTGACTATAGTTAATAATACTGTATTACATATTTGAAAGTTGCTAAGAGAATAGGTCTTAAAAGTTCTATTTTTTAAAAAACAAACAAACACGACAACCTTCCCCTGTTCCCCTCCTCCCCCCTCCTGCCCCCATACACAGAAGAGTGGGGTTTCCAGTTAGGCCAGAAGAAGAGAATCAAGCCGAGATCTGTGAGGAGACCAGTTAGTCTGTAGCAGTGTTTCCCAGGACTGAAGTGGGAGATAAGGTGGGAGAGGTAAATAGACCAGGTTAGGGAGAGTGTTAAATGGCTAGCCAAGAATTGCCGAGAAAGGGGGCCAGAATTTAGAGGGGAAGATCTTGATGGCAAAACCAAACAGTGTTTTAGAAAACTCATCTGGTAGGGGTGCACAGAGCTGGGGGGAAATGGAGTCAGAAGTGTAAGGTAGGAGCTTGGAATGGTGTAGGTCTAACAATGGCAATAACATAAAGTAGGTCTGTGGATTTTTATTTATTTATTTTTTAGCATTATACTGTTCGAATGAGTGTAGATTGTGGGCAGTCATTGCTTTCAAGTAAAGAGAAAAAAATGGCTTTGGAGTCTAATGGATCTTGGTTTCAACCCCAGTTCTGAGTGTTCTGGAGAAATTTACGTAGGTAACCTGGCGGAGCCTTTGATTCTTAGGTTAAAATGGGGCTAATGGCGGCAGGAGGTGGGGACATCTGTAATAGTATCAACAATAAAAATAAAGTTATTAAAAAATAAAACTGTTAGATAAAAAAAATGAGGCCAATGATGCCCCCTTTACAGGATGGTGGTGAGGATTACATGAGGCAGTGTTGGACTCTGCATCCCTCTACAAATATGGCAGGATGGTGAAATGTACAACATTGTCATCCATCAAAGAAAATCTAATCCAACAGAAAGTCAATAATTAATTCATTGTCCTTCCAGAAGATGATGGATAATAAGCTACCTATATATCTCATATAAATAGAGTCACTTCTCACCCTGCAGTTCTGCCCGGGAGCAGAGAGACACATCGAAAGAACCATCTCCTGAGAATCCTTCTGTTCTGTTAGCCAAGGGGATTATACAGCGTGATATCCGTCGAGGGTAAATGTTAGTTAATTCTTAATTGATAGCTCAGCCTCTGCAATTGGTTCCATTCAACAGTAATTATTCTCCTGTGGCTTGTTCAGCTCAGTTGTGAGTTCCCCTCCTTTTCAGTTGTGCATGGAAACAGCAGCGTTAAGGCTGGGAAACAGGTAAATAATAATTTTTCTTATTTCGCTTTTATTTGCCTGGAAGCTCGCGTGGTGTGATTGATTTTCATCGCTAACAGCAAAAGCAGTCACATGGTCGGAGAACGCTGCAAGTTAACAATTCACAGCTGGTCGCCTTTCCTAGCATTGGCTTCCAAATTCTCCCCAAGTGCCTTTGAAGTTCTAAATCTCCCGTCTAGGGGAACACCCCGCGGTCCCCAGGTAATAGGGGAGCAGAGGGAGCTGGCGTGTTCCTGTATTTGCATGCTTTTTACAGCTGGCCATTTTCTGCTCCGCGCGCCGCCGGACTCGGACTTGCCCGTGACACAGAGGCAATGGTTTTTCCTTAAAAAGGGGGTTGGGGTGGGTTAGTTTCATTTCTGATCTGGGATGCAGTGAATACGCCAAAGAAAAGTTTAAAACCCCGACCCGCGAGGTGCTTCCCCATACATCTCCTTTCCCGAGAGATAGCAGGAAAGGCAGCATTTTTTTTTCCATCAACACCCACTTCCAGCCCTAGTCTGGCTCCGCGAGGAATGTATAAAATTAGTTGGCTCCTCTGAGTGACTGTCCCCCGGCCCAATCAGCGGGAGCCGAGGCGCTGCCGCCCCCGCCCCCCTGCGAACGCTCTTTGGCTAATCCCCGCCGGGGGGAGGAGAGAGGCGGCGGAGGGAGGGGGAGGTACCTGGGCCCGGGAGTGATGTCAGCTCCCAGCTCGGTGTCTGCCCGGATTCCTGACATGGTGTAGGGCCCGGAGGGTGGGGACGGCGGGAGCGGGACGGGACCGGACTCGGGTTTGCTGGCCGTGGCGGGGCCAGAGTGCTGGGGCTTTGAACTCCGGGGGAAGGTGATCCAGAACTTTTGGAACTAGTGCCGGCGGCGCCCACCCCCAGGTAAGGGCGCTGGACGCCTCTCGGAGACCCGAGAGCAGCGGCGCCGTTGTGTGGCTGCCGCTGGGTGTAGCAGCTGCGCCTCCTCCTCCCGGGTCGATTTCCTTTCCTGAACTCCTGTTTCCCAATGGGATCGGGCACTTTTGGGGGGTGGTGGTGTAAGGTTTACTCCTCGGGCTGCCGATGAGCTTATGTGTGAAAATACCTCCAGGGCTGGACGTGTAAGGGCTTGCCTGTATCCTTAGACCACCCCCTTCCCCATAGACCCTGGTCTCCCAATAATACTTGGGAACCCCAATCCGAGGAGTATGAGGGTTGGGATGATTGGGGGGATGGGGGGCAGTATTTTAAAATGTCACAAAAAGTTTATGAAATATTGACTAAAAAAATGGGGCTTTTTGCGAGAGAACAAAAGTGGTGTATCTTTTTAGATCCCGTGTGGCCTATTACATAGTGGGATTTAACTGAAAGAATGTAATGGTTATTCTTATGTGTTGTTATATAGCAGCATATGAAATCTTTTTATATAGTCCAGTCAGGATGTGAGAAATTCACTGGGGGTGAATTCATTATGAGCTTGTGGGAAAACGAGTCTCTTGGGACCACACTTGTAAAAACTCCAGCTCTTTGCACTCTTACATTTTAACCGAGAATCCGTATCATTGCCCACCCTGTGATCTGGCGGGGTTAGGAGGGCTGCTGAAGATCTTCAGGTCTGTGTTCCGTGGCTGAGGAAAGGATGAGGGCTGGCAGTTGTGTTTTCAGGGATCATTTTTAGAAAAGGGAGTTTTAACGGGGAAATGTGGCAGAAGGCGTGGCATACAGACTCTTAATTATAGGAACATGTATTTTTCAACATGTGGGACCGAAACAAATCCTTCCTTTCACTAAGAAGTGCAGAGAGCAATAGAAGGAGGGTTTGATTTAGTGTCCAAGTTTGGTAATTAGGGAAAGCAATTGCCTACCGGGAGGGGAGGAAAAGATAGTTTGAGAACTGGAAGTATAGAATTCTAATATTTTATTTCCTGTTTCAAACCTCCCCCCCCCCCCCCCCCCCCCGGCCCCCCACTTGGAGATGTGTGTGCCCAGGTCATTAACTGGGTGTGATTGATTTTCTGGGGGAAAAACTTAACTCCACAAACTGATTCAGAACTCTCACTTAACAGTGCTTAAGGCTCTTTCTCCTGGAGCAGGAAAAAAATGTATGGGCTGAGGGACGCCTGAGTCAAGTTTCCCTTTTCATTCACCACTGTTCCTCACAGTGAGGAAGGATCCTTCTGTTGCCTGGTCTGGGAGGAAACGGGTGTGGGCTTCATTGTGAGTCGAAAGCTGCATCCCGGTGCCTGAACCGAAGGGCATGTCCAGGAGGTGAGGAAGGAAAGAAGCCACCACATTACTTCTCATAAAACCAAGTCAGGAAGTGTGGAGTTACAGGACTTCATAGATGGGGCTCTCTATCTTTCTAGCCAGATGACAATTAAAGTTCAGAGCTAGAAAGAAGTATTTTGTTGGCTGTTTATAAAACCACCTGGCTCTGTATTGTTCTCCGTTTCTGAACAAATTAATTAGCACAGGGTGGAGAAAGAGCAGGATTTTTGCAAAGGGAAGGTGTGCTTTACTGGAGAGGCCAGACTATTTTCACTTTGGTTTGTGTTTTAGACTCAGAAATTTCCTGATGGCTCTGAAATCCTGGGGGACAAGTCGTTTCTATTTATGTTCTGTAGGAAGCACGTAAAACACAGTATTTTTCAGTGGGAAAGAGAAGGAGGTGATGTGGAATTCCTGTGGGCTGATGTGAGCTCACTGGAGCCCTGGCTGATGGAGTGTTCAAACTGGAGTTTGTAATACCCAGGGATGGAGCTGCAAAAACCAGTCAAGTAAAAAAATACCTTTGGGATGTTATCCTGATGTGCCAAATTCAGATTTAGGCTCCTCCTTACCCCCACCCCCCCACCCCAAGAAACTAGTCCTGGCTTAGGGACTTGAATATACTAAAGCTTTAAATTTTATTAACAGTTTTTTGAGTAATAGCAGTAATTTTACATACTTAGTTTTAACCAATATTTCTCTTTCGTGGTCCTAGTTTATGAGGCAGATGTGGTATAGTAAAACACGGTTCTTTCAAAAGACAAAACTTGAAATATGTTTGTTATTGAGAAAGGTAGGCTCAGGTGTGTGTTTTTTTAATAATCTGAGTGGCCAGATTATTATGACCGGCCAGATTATTATGACCACCCCATCAGTACAATGAAATGAATTAGTTATGCAAATAATAATAATAAAACCTTGAGAGTATTTGCTTAGGGAGTTTTCAATATTCAGTATTTTTGGAAGTGTCAATGAAGTACTAATGGGGTGGTCAATAATCTGGCCGGTCATAATAATCTGGCCACTCAGTGTATTTGTATTGATTTCAGAGAGGGAGAGGGAGAGAGAGATAGAAACATCAATGATGAGAGAATCATTGATTGGCTACCTACTGGGGCTCCAGCCTGCAACCCGGGCATGTACCCTTGACTAGAATCAAACCCGGGACCCTTCAGTCCGTAGGCTGATGATGTTCTAACCACTGAGAAAAACGGCTAGGGCTAGGGTCAGGTTTTTATTTCATTATCTTTGACCAGCAACTGTCAATAGTTCTGGTAGCTATTTTTTAAAAAATTGGGTAATCTGGCCTTTGTGGACAAATGTTGACTTGAAATCTAGGGCACACTGTAGTTCCAGATCAATAGTGCCTAATTTCAAGGCCAACATAGACATTTTTTTGGAAACAAATTCAGTGAAGGAGAGTTCACTTACTGTTTCTGTAGTCTTTTTGTCACTCTCTGTACCAGCATGAGATATATCAGAACAAGGTCATTCCTCCCCCCCCCCAACCCCCACCTCAGTTATTCACCAGCTGATTTCTTTCTAAAACCTGCTTTTATATTCCTGAAATAGTTGCATTTTGTAATTAATTTAGATTATGTTGGTAATTTGTTACATTAAAAATACCTTTTTTAGCTTTCCACCTCCCATTTTCATTTATTTTGTTAAATTTATCTTTATTGTTGAAAGTATTATATATGTCCCCTTTATTTCCTCATTGACTTCCTCCACCCCTCACCTGTCCCCCCATTTTTAAACGTACCTTTATCCCAAATAGCACAGCTTCCAAACTGTTCACTAATTGACCTCACTCATAATTCCGTCCTTTCAAAGATATTACATGTTTCTGACCTAATTTGAATCACCTTTTCAAAACAACGCGTGAATGAGTGAATTAATGAATGAATGTGCATGCACCGTTGGGTCTGTGTCTTGATTCTTTATTAAAGAAATGTTGCTTCATGGTGGAAACATAGGCAAGAGATACTGCACAATGATTGCTTTTTCTTTCCAGACACTTCCCTAGAAAGCCATGTTAGTTCTGAAATTGAGAGGAGAAAGATATCACAGCTGAGCAGCCCATCGTGAAATCTTTCAGGGAGCCATGATTATGATTATTAATTTCACCATGGTCGAACAGATGCGTTTAAGTATCAGATTCAAAGCTGTTAAGGTTAGTGACGCTGAGTGTTGTTTGGGGATGAAGGGAACAAAGTGTCTGCCCTTCAGCCAGCATTTCCTTTCTACTAAAGATTGATCATTTCGTAATTAAATCAGTCATCAAATTATCCAAAAGTTGACACTCTCCAAAAACGGCTCTGGGCTGGTGCAGTTCCGTGCCTGTAGTATATTATGTCATTAGTTTCTGAAATTCATTGCTGTGCATGTCAGAACCTTTTCCCTAGTCGAAAAGCCTGCAGCTTTTGTCACATAATCACCACCACAAAGATTGATGCTGTATTATATGGAGCTAATGCTTAAAAAACTAAACTGAACTAAACATACAAAATACAAACTCTTAGTGTTTCTTTCACACTCTTCATTTTCAATATAGCCATGATTGACGCCTGTTTGGCGTTAGTTGATAATGTTTCAAAAAGCCAAGTGGTGAGTTTCTTTTACTTCAATATTTTTTTTCCAAGTTGAAGGATCTAGAACAGGGGTGGGCAAACTTTTTGACTCGAGGGCCACAATGGGTTCTTAAACTGGACTGGAGGGCCGGAACAAAAGCATGGATGGAGTGTTTGTGTGAACTAATATAAATTCAAAGTAAACATCATTACATAAAAGGGTACGGTCTTTTTTTTTTTTTAGTTTTATTCATTTCAAATGGGCCGTAGTTTGCCCACGGCTGATCTAGAACAACAAACTGCATTTTAGATGGAAAAATCGGGCCCTTCGGGGAGTTTTAAGTTGGCACATGGGCTGGGCAGTTTTGAGGGGAGAGGAAGGTCTCAATGAAACGTGAGTCAGTCTGTATCTATTGAAGACTATTTCTGAAATGTGGGTTTGGAGTCAGTGGTCCATGTGGGTGTGTTGTCACAGTTTATGACTAAACTTTGGTTATATGTTTCCCTGGAGCTTGGTGTGACTCACATTTTAAAAAAAAATTGATTTGAGAGAGAGAAGAAGGGAGAGAAAGAGAGGAACATCAATCTGCCGTCTCCAGCACAAGCCCCTACTGGGAATCAAACCCGCAATCTGGGCATATGCCCCCGACCGGGAATCGAACCTGCCACCTTCTGGTGCGTGGAACCATGCTCCAACCAACTGAGCCACACCAGCCAGGGCAGCGTGACTCACATTTTGACTGGTTCACACGCACATCCTTGTTTTGGTTGGCAAATGGAATGAGTTCAGAATAGAAAGATCATTTAGTGGTTTCTGTTCCAGTGGTGCACCTAAAAATGCTCACGACTCGAAGGAAGTGTACAAACTCTAATGGCACCGAGTTGCAGTCATCCTGGCAAAGGCTCATGTCTGAAATACGGATTGTGGAGGAAGAAGATCAAGTACTATAATGTTTGGGCCTGGCCTTAGCTTTTATGGACTTCCTATGAACTCCAGAGTAAGGCTAAGTATTTTCACTTCTAGTTTAGGGCCATTGAACATTTGCCATAAAAACAGACGCACGTTCAAGGGAGCAGTATGCTGATTTCTAGTGTGTGTGCCTTGTTAACAGGGGAAAATCTAATTTTACCTGGTGAAGGGGAGGCTAAAGATGCTGTTTTCAGTGGCAAGTCCATTCATAAATGAGTGGCTAAATTCTTTAGGCAAGCAAGAAGTAGATAGGCCCATTGGGAAGTATATGAACTCTTCCCTTGCTATGAATGTAATACTATACCGTATCGCTAAATATGCCTGTGTTATCTCATATGTCTGTGCCTAGGATCTAGCTCACAGAGGTCCCTTTGCTGGCTTTTTGTCATCCTTCTCTTCATCTGTAATATTTTACACAATGCCATCTTGCCACCACAGAGTTGTATGAGGTTTTTTATGAGGAAAGTTTACTGAACTTACTTTAGTTGGGAGAAAGTGAAAACAAGGCTAAAACTCTGTGGCCTACTTTCTTAATATATCTTGACAGTGTGACTGCAGTTGCATAAATAACGTCCCTGCCATCGTTATCTTTTTCTAAAGATGCTGCTTCTCATAACAACACATAGTAGAGAATGTTGTTTTGCTTGAAGCGGAATTTGAACAGTGGAATGAGCATGTAGGTTCTCATCTAAATGAACCATGGGAAGTGAGTAGTGGGAGGAAGGAAAACAGGGACAACTCGGAGGAAACACGCGGTTCGAGCCTCTGAGTCTGCCAGGATGATTTGTGTGAAGTCACCTGGGACTCCGTGTTCTTCCTCAGGATCAGCTGCTTGGATGCTTCTGTAACACTTCCACATTCTTCCGGCCTCCACTCCCATCAGTGGGTGACTGCACTACCAAGAGGTTCTTTTATTGCTTTTCTCTTTGCAGGGTACCTTGATTCTCTAGGACAGCGGTTATCAACCTGTAGGTCGCGACCCCTTTCGCGGTCGAACGACCCTTTCACAGGGGTCGCCTAAGACCATCCTGCATATCAGATATTTACATTACAATTCATAACAGCAGCAACATTACAGTTATGAAGTAGCAACGAAAATAATTTTATGGTTGGGTCACAACATGAGGAACTGTATTGAAAGGGCCAGAAGGTTGAGAACCACTGTCCTAGGATGACTTGTGCTCTACATCACTGTGGGACACACACAGCTAGATGCCCAACCACTGTCCATGTCACCCACTTCTTCCCTATAGCTGAACCCATATTGTTTAATTTGGCACCATGGCTAGTTAGAAAAAGAAACAAACTTGATTTCCCAGAATCCCTTGCAGTTGGAGGTTGTCTAGGACATAGCCCTGGCCAATGAGATGTAAGTAACTGGGTGGGACTCCCCCACAAAGCTCTTATAATGGGGTGGACACTATGTGCTCACAGGTTAGGCCTTTTGCTCTTTGTCCTTCTTTCTCCCTGGAACATGGGTGCTGTTTTCTAAGTGGAGAACCTTCTTGTGACCAAAGGCAAGAACCTTGAGGGGTAAGCAGGGTGGGAAGCTGATGGCATTCTGGAACTGCTGTACCAGATCTCTTCTGCCATCTCTTGACTTTTTGTGAGGAGAAGAAAATTTGGTTAATCCACCAAAGTTAGATCTGTTACTTGCAGCCAAATGTGATTTTAACCAAGTTTAAATGTTAGTCATAATTTATCTTTTCTCTAAAAATTAAAAGGCAGCATTCTCTGTGTGACAAAAAAAAGGGGATTGGCTGGTTTGGCTCAGTGGATAGAGCGTCAGCCTGTGGACTAAAGGGTGCCAGGTTCGATTCCGGTCAAGGGCACATGCCTGGGCTGCGGGATCGATTCCCAGTAGGGGGCATGCAGGAGGCAGCCGATCAGTGATTCTCTCTCATCATTGATGTTTCTATCTCTTCCTCTCCCTTCCTCTCTGAAATCAATAAAAATATATTTTTTTAAAAGGGGGGGTTGGATTTTGCTTTACAGACTCTCTACACTTTAATCCTGCTTTGCTGTTCATTACAGTCTAATATTGGCAAGTAATTCAACTTCTTTGGGTCTCAGTTTTCCCATCTGTGAAATGGTGGTACTGATATTTATCTCATAGAATTTTTGTCAGTATTAAAAGTAAATAGAAATTTTTAATAAAAACAATAATGGCACGTTTGTCATATAGATTTTCAACACATGGTGGCAATTATTACTGAAGGAGAATGTAGTGGGGAGCCTGAAGAAGGGGAAACAAGTAATTCAACTCCTAGTAGGTTCTCAGTAAACAGATTGAATGGCTGAATGGTAGATTAGCTTTAGAGCTGCAATGACTCGACTCGCCCCCATCTACTCTAACGCCCATCTCTTACCCTCAGTCCTACCTGCCTAGACCAGAATACTTGGAGCTCTTCTGTTCTCCAACTTTGGTTGAAAAAACAAAGGATATCCTTATGAAAAATGTATTAGCTGTAGCATAGGCATGAAAGGAGAGGGCTCCAGAGTCAGACAAATGTAGATTAGAGTCCCTGGTCCTTACTAGCTGTGTGATTCTGTCTTCTGTGAAATGGGAATAACTGGGTGGTTATTAATAAATATGCTAACATACCAGTATATGAAGTTCTTAACAGCTGTTTTCCTGGCACAGAATGAGCACTGGATTGATGGCAGATGTTATTTCATTCAACACTTGTTAAGCAATTCTTGGCCTTGGTATGAGGTCCTCTTGGGTATGTAAGGACAAATAAAAGATGCTCTTTACCCTTAAGAATATTCATATGCAGGAGATGGGCGTAGGAAGGGGATGACCCTCTTTATACATAACTGTAACATAAAACAGGTTTAAAATACTATTTAGCTGTTAAAAAGTTGAGAAAATATACTGATTTATACAGATGTCTGTGATATATATTTTAAGAAAAAGAGGCCCTGGGCTGGCATGTGCGGGAGGCAACCAATTGATGTGTTTCTCTCACATCAGTGTTTCTCTGTCTCTATCCCTCCTCGTCCCTTCCACTCTCTCTAAAGATCAATGGAAAAATATCCTCGGGTGAGGACTAACAACAACAACAACAAATACAGATGAGGAATCTGAGGCACAGACAGGCTCATTGAGTTTCCCACTGTGTGTGCTGGACTCAGGATTTAAGTGCAGGTACAGCCTTTAGGGTCAGTATCCTCAATCTCTTTATATTTCTGCCTCTGGCTTAGTTTTATACTTGATGTGTTAAAAGCTATTAAGAACTGCTAGTTGATTTTACCCACATGAAGACATTAAGCAGGAATTTAGAAATTTAGGTTTGGAGTTTAGGCAAAACCCTGGATTGATGGATCATCTCCATAGGGCTGTTACATAAAAACTGAGAGTAGATGAACTTGCCGAAGAAGAGGGTGTAGACTAAAAGAGAAGGAAGTATAGCAGGTCCTCAAATAACATTGTTTTGTTATAACTTTGATGAGGAAAAACAAATGGTTTCTGGCAGGCACCACTGTCTGTGTAGAGTTTGCCTGTTCTCCCCATGTCTGTGTGGGTTTTCTCCAGTCCTCTGGTTTCCTCCCTCATCCCAAAGATCTCCCATTCTCAGCGAGTGTGGGTGTGGGGGTGAGTGTACCCTGTGATGGAAGGGCGTGCTGTCC